ACAGCCCCCGTCTGCCCCGGGCATGGGGTCTCCGGCCCCCCGGGCTGCCCCAGCCGGCCCCTCTGCCCTCCCCGAGGGCTGGAGGGCGTCCCGCTGGCCAGCCAAGAGCGTTCGGCCTCGCTTCTTGCAGAAAAAGATGCTCCTAGAAATCCTTGTCCCACCAAATATATACGCAAATGCATTTAATTAAAAAACCAAACTTTTACAAGTATTTTCATCCCAACTTCAGTCGTAAATGGTCAATTCTTAGCTCACCCGTGGAATAGTTTCTGTAGGAGGTTAACAGGGCATGGTCCAGCTGATAAACTGAGTCAGTTTTAACTGGACATCCTTAACACGCAATAGAAATGGAGACTGGGATTCTATTTTCCTCTTGTCCTTTTTTCAGAGTAAAAGTACACTCAAAGTCCGCCGACTACGATCTTTAAAAAGCCTTTTCTGCCGCAGACGCTGCTCCTGGCAACAGCCTACTACGGATAATTTCCTAATTACTGGAAATGAGGTTTACAGTTTGAGCTGCTAACACATGCCCTGGGACAGTTATTCAGAATTTCTGACAATACTGTGTCCTCGCTTTTACAAAACGAAACAGTTCTCCGGCCGATTTTCTCTTTTGTAAGCAGCAGTTAAAGCCTTGCTGAGCTCTCATTTAGCGTAATACCCTGGGTGCTGCTCATCTGTACGAAGTGCAATTAACTAGGAATTTAGCTTACAAGCACGGTAAGACACAAATGGGATGCGCAGACATCCCATGCACGAAGAGGCGAGCGACTTCCCCGAGTGCTGTGCAGCCCTGAGGAACGCTGGGCTTTTTCGGGGCGGGAGGGCGGCTGTCCCTCCGCAGGCTCTGCCGGGCAGGGCCGCTGCAGACGGAGCTTTGGCACACACGGCGCTGCCAAAGTCCGCTCTCTTTCGCCGTGCCCGCTCAGCAAAGCCTCTGCGTCCGGCCTGGCTGCCACAGCCCCAGTCGCGGCTCAGCCCTGTAATCCTAGCCCAAGGCCTGGGCCGGGGAAGGGGATCCTGGTTTCAGTGGATGATCCGTGCTTTCCAGGAGGTTTGCTTTCTGTCGCCGGTAACGGCGGGTCGGGGGCAGTCGCTTGCCTGTCCCCTGTTCACTCTGCTCTCTCGTAGCCCCCCACAGAGCCAGGAGGTGCCCACCTGCTCCTGGCAGAATGGCCTGAATGCTGCTGGCTCACTGTGCCACCTGGTCTTTAAGGCAGCAGCCTTTCATTAACGAGCTTTTGGGTGTGGACTAAATAGATCAGCAGAGAGGAAAGAAAAGCCTGATCTGGTGGTTATCTTCAGACAGGGTGAGCCCAGCCCAGCCCTTTAGGACAGGTTTTGCTCTGGCTCTCGGCTGTTGGGCATGGAGCTGCACACGTGGCTGTGCTGACCCGGGCGCTGATGGGTCCTTTGGCAATGGCTGCGGCGGCCGCAACGCTGTCTGTGCTCGACAGCACGAGGACGGCTGGAAGATGCCCTCTGGGTATTTGAGTAAGTGAGATTGTCTTTTTTTATAGCTCTTTAAACATCTATAAGTTGTTCAGTGATACTAAACATTGTTTGAACAGGACCAGTTCTGGCAAGGGGTTTGGCCACAAAGACCTCGTTAAGAAACCACGAACATGGGCTCCGTGGGATTTTGAACAGCCCAAATCCTCCACGGGGTCAGCTCTGTAATGCCAAATAGTGACGGGCTCGGAGCAAGAGAAACCTGAGCACAAGAAGTGAATGTGCTGGTGTTTCAGGAAACCGCTACCTGCTAGTTCGGGGTTACTGGCTTCAACAGACCAGATACACAGGACTGAGTAAAACATTCTTTTATTAAGTTATGTTAACAATGCAACCCAACAACTCGGCTGGACTGCAAGATGACATATTGACGAAATAGTACTTGAACAGCTGAAAAAAGTTGACTACATCTACCACAGTGCATTTATGTAGCTATATTTAGCACTCTGGGGAAAACACTGACCATAAATCCTTTCAACACTGTCAGCCATTTTAAATAACTCTTTAAAACACAGTCACAACTTCTTAAATCTACAAATCTTTCACTAAGAAAAATGACATAAACCTTCTTGAAAGCGTTTTCATGAGATATGGATTAGCAGATGGCAAATGTGGCATTTCATCGTTCTCCCTCCAGCCCAGAACTAACTCGTGTTACGTATCTTTTTACCATAGGCTTAAACTATAGACTAAACGCTGTTTACAAGTGTTAGCCCCTCTAAATATGAGCACAGCTTAAACTCCTAGCCAAGCTATTCAGCTACTGAGCCCTCTCCATGTTAACGTTAGCTGGTTTATCATGTCATTAATAATGCAGTAGAATATTAACTTGTTTTGCAAATGTGAAACCTAAGATTCTCATATTTATTTAACTTACTGAATTATCAATTCCATTAATAGGAAGAACAATAGAAGTCTTTCACTTAACCTGAAAGCTAAGGCAATGCAATTTGTAGATGACTTATCTTCTGAAGTGAAACCAAAGAGAAGGCTGTTCTCCTCAACCGATACTAAATATTGCCCCTTAAACCTTTCAAAGACTGCTCTGAAACATGCCCCTATCAAAAAAGGGGCACAGCAGAAACTAAACGGATACCTTTATTTCTTGGACTTCTTTACAGGTCCTTTGACTTGCTGGATAAGAACTTTCAAGATCTTTTCCATTTTGGCTTTTGTCAGTGACTTCCTACAGTACCATATTTGGTCCCATATGGAGCACAGAGGTTTGGGAGCTAGATAAAGTGGATCATAGTCATGAAGCATATCCAGTGGCCTCCTCTTAGCGAACTCCTTATAATCTGCAACTGGACAGTTCTCTGGATTGTCAGGCTTGGCAAAGAGCCGTGGGCCCGATTCCCCTATGTTTACCTCTGCACTCAGATCTTCCTTCCACTCCAAGTACTCCCGCTCTCCCTCATTCTTTTTTAGCACAAGCTGTCCCCAGTACAGGGTATGGCTCCGACTGTGTGTACTTGCCCCAAACCCCCTAATGATATTTGTGAACATGAGGTGCAAAAAGCCCTGAGGGTGCATCTTACTTAAAAGTCCCTTCTTACGAAGACTTTCCACATCTTCTTCCGTCAGGTTCTCCAAAATACTCCACTCTTCCTCCCTCTCTTTTTGAGATAGATGCTGATGCTTTAGTTTCAAGGCTTCCTGAGACACTCTGAATTCCAACCCTTTAACCACGCTGTACTCGTAGTTGTGATCCTTGAGGTATCTCTCTATGCTGGTCTGAAAGATGTGCAAAGAACTGGCGGAAAAATCTGTGCCATTCTGTCTCTTTGCAGAACTGTAGAATGAGGTCAGGTAATTATCGAGGTCTTCAGGCGGCAGCTTATAGATCTCGCGCGTTTCAGAAGGGCAATGTAAAACCAGCCAGTCTTTGAAAACTTTTATATCGCCAATGTTACGGTTTCTCTTATTCTCCCTCTTCTTCAACATATCTAAAAGATAAGACACAGCTTTGTGGAGAGTAAGAACTTACAAGGAGATCAGTGAAATACAAGGAGATGCAGAGTAATGTTCACCTTCGTTCTAGGAGTAATTTGGAGATCATGGGACTTTCACAAACCCCTTCCTTTAAAGCTTTGGTTTAGATCTGGGTTCTCAACAAGCCAGCCAGCACCACCCGACAGTGCCAGTCTAGACAGGGAAAGGATTGTTTCCTTTCTTGCTCTTTCTCACTTGGCTGGTGAATCTGCTTATCACCATGTAGGTAAATTTAAGATATTCTTTCTTTTTGAATTATGTTTAAATGGGAGAGAATGAGCTCCTAATGAGATTTAATCACTGAATGTCATTGTGGGATGCACATGTGGAAAGCATTGGTGCAAGTTCTGTGGGCCTTCTCAGACAGCAACATAGGACCGGAGACTGGACCTGTCCTTGGTGGCATGGCTTGACCTTGAACTTCTCCCTGGCTGACTTTGGAGCTGACTCTGCGTGTGCCTGTAGGAGCACGCTCGTGGGACCAGCCATGTACCCAGTGGCTGCCATCCTGAGCCTGCAGTGCTGGCTACGAAGCCCGAGTAACCCCGAATGGACTTGATACATGTTCATCAATTTGCACCTACTCTGGCATGTATTTTATGACGACTGCAAGGGCCAGACTCTGCTCTGCTAAAATAGATGAGAGTTGGCCTGCACACGGATCTTGTGATCTGCCTCAGGACTGCGTAGCATCCATTTCATATGTTCAAAGTGGTGTACAATATAGTTTGCATTATGCAAAATATATTTCAAAGCATTCTTCTTTACAAAAATCTCTTCAGGCAGGAGAACTCTCATTGTGAGATAAAAACATGAACCAAAAGTTAGGGGTAGATAGTGAGGGAGAACAAAAAGATGAGTAAAAGTTGTTGGTTGGTTGGTTGGGGTTTTTTTTAAAGGATTGCCAGGATTCCAGTTGGGTTCTCTCTCAAGTTGCTATGGCAATACCACATCTACCTAGTTCGATGTAGCATGAGAAATTAATTCTTTGGATTGCTGAAAAGCTCCATCTGCTCGCCTGTGATTTTTCTAGGGCTGAAGAGGGGTAGATTGAAAAGGGTTCTAGAGCCAACATCTAGAGATTCCCCTTCTTACACCAACTTATTTTGTACACGCTTAGTTGTTACCTTAAAATGCTGTGGCTGGACTGAGGTGGATTCTACTGATCCCTGTGCTGCTGTTTTGTGTTTTTTTGCTTGTTTTGTTACTGACTGCTCTATGTGAAGGGATGAATGGCTTGTAAATCAATACATGCAGAGGCCTCATTTGAGCCATAAGCTATTTATCTTGGCAGAAACGGCTACTACACAGACATTCCCAGATGAATTCCCAGTCCCTTTTGATGATATATGTTGTCAGTTACAAAAATAGTCAAATAATGTTTGCAAAAAAACTGTGCCGGTTTGTATCACTGTGGCTCCATAAGGAATATGAATGTCTGTAACCCCAAGCCTATTCAGGAATACTAACGGTGCTTTAAGCATACACCCATTGTGTTACAGACAAACCCCAAAACACTATTTCAGTAATCTCTCTCCTTTTGAAGGACACTGTCCAGTCCCCTGCACTGCAGAAACCTGCAGTAGCCTGTTGCTCTCTAATGTTTCAGCTAGTTGAGATGGGTCGTTATTTCAGCAGAGAAATAGGTATAAATGTCTGATGCGGTGGGACGGGGCAGCGCAGTCCCAGCCCTGCCCTGCAGCCACGGAGTTTTGGAGATGGGGTCGGTGGGGAATCATCTGCACGGTGCACGGCAGTGCTGCAGCAGCTCTGCGAGGTTGGGCGCCCAGCAAGCCGCGGACACGGCCATGGGGCTGGACTGGGAACAGGATAGGTTTCGGGGATATGAAATGGGATCCTCATATTGAGCGCACAGAAGCAAGACACAGGCTGTTCGGGGCTGCTTCTCGGTTAGATGGAGCCAAGCCACTGAGCCTTTGGATGGAGAAGAGATAGTCTTACTCCTTGAATTAAATTTAAAAAATTTGCCTCAATGTTTACACCGAGATACTAGCAGAGAAAAACATAAAACTGACTCGACAGCAGTTTACTTGGAATTTGTGTGAAAAAGCACCTGCAGTCACTCAAATCATTACAGATGCAAATTTTGTGGCTTTACTATAACATCTTTAGAAACCTGGACATTTGCATTTTATTTGAGGTGTTTAATCATTAGGTTAAATAATATATATGTACTTGGCATTAAGGCTCCAGCTTATTATACACATCTACCCTAAAATATGATCATTTATTAAGTCAATTACATCTATTTCATTGATCTCTTCCCCACTACTTGCAAAAGACTAGCATACTTTTGATAAGGTCCACACACTGTATGTCAGCTGTTCCTTCTTGTGCGGACGATATCTGTTTTACAGCAGAATTAAAACGGCCGCAAGCTAGGCTTCTAAAACCTTCATCAAAACAGCGTGTATGAAAATCTGAAAGTTCTTAAAAGTACTAAAGCAATTTGTTTAGCTCATGTAATTTAATATACAGGATTGAAACTTCGCTCCCATTGCAACCTCTGGGATTTCTGCCATTGACTTTGGTGCAGCCAGAGTTACAGCCACAATTTCTCTGCTTTAAAAGTTGCTTCCTCTTGTTTTCTTCTCTTGAGACCTGAGTTCCCACCTCTCGCTCCAGTTTCTCAGAGGGACTCTCTCTTAAGTACAGCCAACATACTATGTGGTGATACCAAGTAAAATGAAAGACCAAAGCAGTCAAACTGGGTAGTTAAGGCTGGGCCACAGCCAAGCAGACATTTGGGTACCTCAGAACAGAACAGCATTATCTATTGAAATGCTGATTGCTTAAGGTAGGAACCTTTTTAGTCCCTTTTAGCAGAAACGAGTGCCCCAAATCAGAGGCATTTACTTAGATACTACAATACAGATTTTGACAGTTATATGAACTCACTCTCCTTTAATATTTTGGGAAAGTGATTAATAGAACGCACCCCCATACCCACAAACCCCTCCAGGAACAAAACTCCAGACTATCTTACTTTTGTTTGAAGATGCAGGTGGATGGTCTGCATTCTTGCTCTCTGGACTCGGCAGGGCTGAAAGATGAGGTGCGTGCCCAGGTCCTGATGGTTCACTCTCATCAACAGGGTTTTCAGTAATGTTCCCACTTAAGCCTATTCCTGGTGTGCCATGCTGAGGAGGGCTCAGCTGGAGTTGCTGCTGGACATCTACAGTGGCTTCAAACTCAAAGAACGTTGCAGAGGTGGGTGACTCAAGTTGGGTCTTTGCTCCGACACTGGAGACAGGCACAGATTTTAACTGTTCTTTTGGTATCACTGACCCAAAGGAATTTCTTGCTTGAGAAGTTTCAGTTACGGCCCCTGCCGGATTAAGAGGACCTAACCTCAAAAAGCTGCTGTCCAGGCTCTCTTGATTGCTGACGGGGGATTTTAGAATGCAGGCAAGAGTTAGGGGTGGCTTTCCTGTGGGGGCAAAGCTGGATGTTTGGGTGACTGTTGGCTTCTTAGATGCCATCTGCTGACTGTGATGCATTTGCAAATCTACCTCAGCAGTTACACCTTTAATTGGTGATTCTGACAGAATATTCTGGTTGATTCTGTCTCCTTGGTTGTCTTCATCTGATATACACGGTTCTTCATCAGAGATGATTTGCAGATCTTCGTTGCTTTCTAGTTTCACCTGATGTATGTCAGTCTTGACTTCACCAGCAGATATTGACAAATGCTGCTCAGCTGCAAAGCATGATTTCATGGATCTGCTATTTTTTCGATTCTCTATGGGAGATGGCTCATTATGCATCATGTAGACTGTGTTATCTTTCTGCTGAGTGACCCCTGGAGATCTGCTATGTGACCCTGTGCTAACAGCGCCTGCTTTAGCCCTCTCAAAAGATGGGGTCATCCTGAACCTCTTTTCATCTAAATTGGCTTCCCTTGATGAAGCCTCAGAAGATACTGACCTCTTTCTCTTTTCTACAGCTTCATTCTCTTCTCTGCTTCTGATGTATAATTTTCCACACTGCCAGTGATACGCATGTCCAACTCCACATATCCACAGAACAGAATTGTCCTTGCTAGGATGACCCGTGTTCTGCACAATTTCCAAGGCTGGGATTTGGTTGCATATGGTCCCATGAGTGTGTGCCCAGGTCACAAGATTGGAGAGATCCATGTGAAGTGAACTGGCATCGCTGCACCTTCCATCACTGACACTCTCATTCTGTAAAAATGTGTTGGAGGTAACTTAAGTGAAAGAGGATGTGTGTAAAATAGCAGTCCTGGGGACTGTTTCTAACCCCATCTCAACAGAGCGATAATTGTAGATCAGTGATTCCCCTAATGATTCATTTTAATAAACCAATTTGTTCATTCTCTAAAATAAATAAATAAATTTGTCCACTTTGAAGACCTGGAGGGTAGATTGTGGGCATGGTCCTGGAATCATGAATCTATTACAGCTATAATTTAGTTGTACCTATGGGCTCCGAGTCCTGATCATGTAGCTCAGTTCAAGAATTTATTGCACCTCAGCTGAGTCACAGCAGCTGTTCACATGCGTGTTCTAAATCCACAGCATAACTGAGATGATTAACGCTCTCACTGAACCACCAAGCAGCGACCATAGCTCAGCTAATGGAAGGGTAACGTGCTGAAGTGTAGTGCTCTGTTTGCAAATCTGTCTCCTGTGATCCGAGCAAGCTCGTACCCACGGACAATTCTGTACTCACTTATGGAAAACAAGGACAAACTTATGGAAAAAACAAGGGAAAGTGTCAGGAATCACTTTCTCCATCTCCCACCTCCCCATGGCCAACAGGGCTCATACTTCTCTCATCTGCCAAAATGGCAGCAGTATTTGCATCAAAGGGCAACTGGATATATGAAGAAGTTGTTTGTGGGATGCTTTTCAGAAACTAAAAAAAATGGAACTTACATCCACATGTCTAAAACTCATTTTTAAAAAATTGACAATTTTTAATGCTGTAACTGATTGTTAGAAACAATTGTCTATCGTATCATTTATGCTATAAAAGAATACTCACCATGCTGCTGTTTTCTATCTCACTGAGCCTTCTCTCAGGTGGAGATCAGTAAGTGACTGAATATTCTTTCTTTTTCTCTCAGAACCTAAAATAATCATCATACATGTGTGTGTATCTGTGTGTGTGTGTGTATATATACATATATAAAAAAAAAAATCTGCCTAGCAGATGCAACTAAATTTTTTTAATGCTCAGTCCAACACAAATGCTACTGCAAAACATGTGCCCTCGTTAAGGTGAGCTCCCATTAAGCTCGAATTAACTATATATAGACAGCTTGACTTTTGTAAATATTTGCAGGATTAGTCTCTACAGTGTACCAATCGAAGTTGAAACAATATATAAATATAGGAAACAGAATTTAAAAAACAGACTCTGCGAGATGTTCCTTTCAGCACTGGCACTTTGAACACAGGCTGTGGTTAGCAAACTTTACTTCTCCAACTAGAATGAACTGCAGAAACAGAAGTACCAGAAATAGTGAAGCTAGTTCAGATTCTGACATTATCTGACTTTTCAAATAGCAAAAAAAGGAAGTTTCCTAACTAAGTAATTCTTTGCATATATAACTCATATTTACTAGAGACTAAATGTGAAATTCTCCCATCTGTTTTGAAAAGTTCTATGTAGCAGTCTAGAAAGTCATCATCATTTCTGTGTGACAGGTTAGAGAACAATCGGTCACATAACTTACCGTCAACACACATATTGCAAGAGAGCCAAGAAGCCTTATGATGCTATGTGACTGATACCGCACGCATCTACAGTTCATAATGGCAGCCTTTGCTTCAGGCATCTTAGTCTATTATTCATTAAAAGCTTTGCATTTAGTGGTGGTAAAAGATGCCAGACTGAAAACACTGGACACAGGACTCTTGTCTAAACTGGTGCTTTGAGCAGCTCTGGCCTAAACGTGATGTGGCTTCCTGGTGAGGACAGGCCCTTGTTGGCTTTGAAGGTGAGTATGCACGTGCAGACAGCCCAGCACACTGCAAGCGCACGTCCTTGCTGGGTACGTGAGCTCGAGCCTCCAGGTCTCCTGTTCCGCACGCTCCTGTTCTCCAAGCAAGCTGTGGAAGACAGGAGAAGCCCATCCTGTCTGACAGATGTAGGGCTGCTCTGTAATCCGTGAATGTGGTGTTTGTCTGCAGGGATTTATTTCATGAGTATGCTAGTTAAACTGAGAGAAAGCTTGTCAGTGCACAGGCAGGAAACTGCTGTACTGCAGAAGCCCTGTTGTGCGCTGGCATCCGAGGCAGAGGCTATGCCTGGTGCCTTTCGCACTCCACCTCCATCGGCCATGCTTACCGGCTCCGTGCGAGGCAGTGGGGCGAGGAGGGAACCGGGTGAGGCTGAGGAGCCCTGCCTGGAGGAGGAGAAGTGAGAGTGTGACTGCCCGGGCTGCCCAGGGGCGGCCACCAGCCCCGAGCGCAGGGTGAAGTGTGGTGGCTGCTGCAGGGCTTGGCTAGCAGCCGTGACGTGAGGTGGGGATGTGGAAACCATACAGTGGAAGGCCTCTACCCTCGCTATCTTCCACCTAGCACCAGGACAGGGTCACCTGGGGATCCCCGAGGCCACCTGCCCTAACGTGAACCCCCTCACTGCCAGCAGGGCCAGCCTGAGGCCGAAGGCATCCGAAGGAGCCTGGCAGGGGGTGGGGAGGCTGCCTTCCCCCTTCCTGCACCTCCACCCTTGTCATCCAGCAGCAGGGACCCCCAAAGTGGGGCTGAGACCAACCAAACCCAAATAAAACCCAGCAATCATGAAACTGCCTCTTGGCCAAGCTCCTGCACTGAGGAGTAGCCCTCGGGAAGTGTGTTTACACATGTCCTGCTCCGGCAATTCCAGAAACTGAGGGGCAGCAGTCGCAGGCGGCTGAGCTCTGAGGCTGCAGCTGGCCAGGCACTTACCCACATACTTAATTTTAATTGAATGCTTCGATCCGCTGATGCCAAAACTAAATGTGCTTTGCTGGATGCAAAACCTAAGTGAATAAGCATGCAAAATCTTTGGGCAAAAGTTTAATTGTTCCAAGCAGGAAGGGGGGAAAAAAAAAAACACCACCAACAAAAAGCTGTGGAAGTGGCGTGGGCTTCCACGCCACCCAGCACAAGGGAGCCTGTCGGCTGCCCGAGCGAGGCACGGGTCATGACTACAATGACAAACACACGTAGAACAATTAACGAGCATTTGGTGGTTAGGCAAAGTACAATCCGAAGAGGAAAAGAAACAAACAAAAGCGAAGCATACAAGAAGAGCCCTCTCTAACCTCAGGAGACAGGTCAGGGAACTAAATGTCCCTTTCAAAGAGAAAAGCACAGGTCAAATCTCTGGCAGCAGGTCAGCTGTACTTCCCGATGGGGAATGAACAGCAGGCAGCGGAACCGCTCCCATTTGGGGGTGAAACTGCTGCACAGCTCTGGAGGGCCCTTCTGCACTTACGCTAGTATCAATCCCTATGTTCCTTCTTACGGCTTTCTAATGATAGTATGGACAATTTTAGCCTGGAATGCTTTGCTGTTTGCATATGCTAGCTTGTGTAACATGCAAAGCTAGGATTTTCAAAGAATTCTTTACTGAAATCTGCTGCTTGATTTAAACAAAAATCAGACCAAAACCCCGTTTTAAAGCAGCAAATGCATTTTGAGCTCCCCACATCTGTTAATCTAGGCATTGTATAGGATCTACTGTCAGTGTGATCTCACTCCTAATGAATCGTGGACAACAGGGTTGGAAGTCACCTCAAATGTCCATTTCAGCTGTCCTCATTCCTCACAGAAAAACGAGCTCTGCCCAAACTTCTCCTGAGCGGTGTTTGTCTAACCTGTGTTCAAACGTTCTGAGGACAGGGCATTCACAGCCTATTCCTGGGCCTCGCTGTGTCTCAGAACGCTGAACGTCAACTTAGGGGAGAACCGTTTTTCCCTTCTGAAGTCAAAGAGACTTTATCTTCAAGTTCAACTTGTCTAATTCCTCCTTCAAGGGCTGATCTGCTTGGACAAACTAAAAGGAACTTTCATGCCAATAATTTGGTGCTTATAGTTAGCGTGGGAAAAGGTAACAGAAACGGAAGCTCTGCATGGTCATAAGGCCATGAAATTACTGACTTGGCAGATGAACATCTTGATTTCTATCACAGGCGTCTCTACATGGAATGCTTTTATCTTTACTTATCTCCAAGCACATGTCTTCCTTTTCCTGATCTCTTTGAAAAAAAGCCTTTTTTCTCTTGATATTTAGTTCCAAATAAAGGCTCTGGTAATCAGCTAAGGATACTTCTTCAGCCCACTCCTGTTCTTATATTTACATCAGTTGAGAGGACCTCCAAAGAAACTGTCAAGTGGAATGAGTCCGAATTTACAGTTACAACTGAGCAGAAAAGAATGAATTTATGGTATTTACCCACAAAGGCTGAACTGATGTACTTCTGATCTCTTCAATTAATAAAAATCTATCTTGATCATTGCCACAGTTTTTACCTGCTTCCAACAAAACCAGGATCCCTATGGGGGAGGGTTCTGGGGTTGGAGTTTGGGGGTTGAGTTTTGTTTAGAAACCTTGTGTCTGGTTCAGAATCTGCATGGCTGTGAGTGATGCTGCATTTTAATTGTCTTTCCAGGAGAGGCTCCCATCTGATAATGGACACTGCGTATGCAGGACCCACACCTTTGTGCAGAAAAACAGGACATTCCAAAGCTGTACGGTAAATGTTTTCTTTTAATTTTTTTTAACCCATAGGGAATTTAGTGCACTAATATAACCTATAATTAAGTGAATTCATGCTTACCAGAGCAAAAAAAAGTTTTTAAAAAAAAATCTACAAGATTTTGCTTTCTCATGCGTCTGGTCTACGTAGTAAGCTTTCAAGACGTCAGCACTGTATATGCTTATTTTACCTCTGTATTCAAGAAAATGCGGCCAAGTAATTTCAAAGAAGTCTACAGCATTTCAGTGGAGCTCTTAAAACTCAGGGCTGACTAAAAGCATTGAAATGTTTATTCCGTTTTAAGACTTTTCTGTGTCTAGTTTAGTTTGAGCCATTAGGAGGAAAAAAACATACTCGGCACTTTCTGAAAATGATTCTCTTATAAGGTCTGTCAAACACAGGTACCTGGAATCACCTGAGAAT